CATGATGACTTTCATTTGAGAACACTTGGTCCTTACTTGTCAGCCACTGCACAACTACATCAAAAGGTTAATATAAAACAGATTGTTATCGCGCTTATTGATCGTCTTGCAGCCTATGCTACTCGTGAAGCAGATTCTGAACCACCAGAAGTGGTTAAACAACAGGAAGAGGAGGCTGCTCGTAGGCTAGCTGAAAAATTGAGAAAGCAAAAAATTAGTGGATACAGTGATGAAAAAGATTATGATGACGATTTGCCAGAAGAGGAACCTCAAGAGGAATTGGATAACGATGACCTTTCGTCAATTAAAATAAAATCTGGTGAAGAACCCACCGTAAAAAAATTCCGTGGTATTCCAGAAGATGTAAAACTCTTTGAGGTTTTCTGGGGGCAAATTGTCGAGTTGGTCAGGGTATTTATTTTAATATATATATTTATTTATTTATTTAGTTATTTATTTTTATTTGTTTTTTGTTTTTGAAAATTTCTAATCATAGAAACTCTACTTTTTATAGGCACGTCACGATTTATCCATCCAAGATATCACTGCTTTGTTGGTATCTTTGGTCAACTTATCATTAAGTTGTTATCCTGACAAGATTGAATATGTTGATCAGGTCATAGAATTTGCAAAACAAAAGGTTTTGGACTTCCACGATAGGTACATTATAGAAAAGAATTTTTTATTTTTATTTTAAATATTAGTATTCTGAATCTGAAGATACAATATTTTTTCCTTATATAAATTAGTCCTGATTTACATAGTCCGGCCGCTACCTCCAATTTACTCAATCTACTTTTGGCACCAATCAACAACTATTCTACCGTTCTCACTCTTCTTGCATTGCCCAATTATTCTGCACTTCTCTCTGTTCAACCGTTCCAGACTCGCCGTTCTGTTGCACATGCCATTGTTTCCTCTATACTCAAGAATGAAACGATTATCGAGACTCCTCATGAAGTTAATTGTATACTGGATCTTTGCAGCGTCCTAACGCGTGATCAAAAGGATGCTACTCTTTCAAGTCCATTTAGTGGGCTTACCGGTGGGAGAAATACGAGATCTAGCGGTATCCCGCCAACGATGGATCCAGAAGAATTTGCAGAAGAGCAAGGATGGCTTGCAAGGATAATTCATTTATTCAAAAGTGATGATCCAGATAATCAATATATGGTACGTCAGTAACGTTATCTTAATTTGTTATTTGTATAATACGTATCAATAGAAATTAATTGTTCTATTGTTAATTGTTGTAAATAGCTTCTTACTACAGCCCGTAAACAATTTACAGAAGGCGGAGAGAGAATACGTTACACTTTCCCGCCTCTTGTTGCGTCGGCTGTTAAATTAGCAAGAAGATACCTACAGATGCAGCAACGTGTAAATATTACTCTTACATAATAGCCATTCAAATCCCGAATTCAAGTAATTAACTTTATTATTCTTTCTGAAGGATGATGGTTGGGAGAAAAAAACGAATACACTCTTTCGCTTTGTTCACCAGGTCATTACTGCTCTATATAACAAAGTTGAATGTTCAGAGTTATGTTTGCGATTGTTCCTTCTCGCTGGTCAAAGTGCTGATGAATGTGGATTTGAAGAAATATGTTACGAATTCTTTGTTCAGGTTTGTTTTCGTTGTACCGCTTGATTGATCGTTTATCGCATCAAATTCGTGTCTAAAATAAAGGTTCAATTATAAAAGGCATTTACCATTTACGAAGAATCGATTTCAGAATCGCGCATACAATTTCAAGCTATTACGCTCATTATTGGTACATTGCAAACTACTAGCGTGTTTGGCCCAGAAAATTACGATACTTTGATCACCAAATGTGCTCTGCATGGAAGTAAATTGCTTAAAAAACCGGATCAATGCCGTGCAGTTTATCTTTCTAGTCATCTGTGGTGGGCTACTGAGGTTGAAGGAAGAAATAACAGACCAACTGAGGTATTAATCTTAATTTTTGTTCACCTATATTCTTATAAATTGCCATTGTTAATATATTTTTCTTTATAGGAATTATATCGCGACGGCAAGCGAGTTCTTGAATGTTTACAAAAAGCCCTTAAGATTGCAGATTCTTGTATGGATTCTGTGACTAACGTGGAGCTATTTGTGGAAATCTTGAATAGATACATATATTACTTTGAAAGAAAGAACGAAGCTGTAAGTTATTAATTTTTTTTAATTTATTTAATGATATTATCTTATGAGCATTTTATTTATTTATTTATTTTTGTAGGTTACTGTTAAATATCTCGATGGTTTGATTGATCTTATTAATACTAATCTTACTAATATGGATAGTTCAGACCAACACCCTCCAACGTCTGCTTCATCTGCCCTCATTGAACCTGAAGGAAACTTATCAGAATTTGTTGTAAGACATTTCAAATCAACCCTTCATCATCTTAATATGCGAAAAGAAACAGTACTTGCTGCTAAAGGGCAAGGTGACATTTTTCAGCAAAGATATGATGAGATAAATACTAATGTTTCTTTGTGAGAGTAATAATTGTGATATATTAATTTGGATGTTAAAATGCGTTTGTTTTTTTACAATCTTAATATATGTTGTTATTTATGTAATATTTTGTATTTACATATTGTATTTTTTGGGAATTAGATTTGTGCATTTTGTTATTATATTTAAAATGCCAAATGCAGAAAAATTAGTAATAATAAATTTTTTGAATTTACTTTTTTATATATAAAGACATGTAAAAAAAAATAAAAAATAAAAATAAAATTTTTAATTTAAATTGATATTAAAAATCAAAAATCCAATTGTTTTTATATAGCCAAATAAGAAAAATTTTGGGACAAAAAATAAAAATTATAGCTTATATTTAGGGTTAGAGTAAAATTGCGTAAGAAATATTTTTATTAGTTACACGATAGGGTTAGTATAGTAAAATTTAAAGATATTAGAAAAGATACAAAGTGTTTTAAAAATATATATTATTTATTGATTAGGGACGTGACAAAAATCAGGTGATTGTTTAGGGGGGAGGGGGTAAAAAAAGTTAAAATTATATATAAGAATCTGATTTATATTAACCTTTTGATGTAGTTGTGCAGTGGCTGACAAGTAAGGACCAAGTGTTCTCAAATGAAAGTCATCATG